GCTGTCCAACTTCTCTTGAAGGAAAGAGAGCACAACACTAATCTGGCAGTTTCGGGGGTCTTCTCTGCGAGAGACGCACCATTCAGTGAATAGACTCCACTTCAGGGCGTAGGCTCGCCTCGTGGAGGGGGCTCTAGCCTGAGTGATGGTATTAACCACCGCAGTCGGTAGGTTACCTTAGTCTTCCTCGCGTCTAAAGACCACACGTGGAGGTTCCAAAGATCGGGGCGAGGGTGCCAGATGGTGCCAGATGGTGCCCTATCCCTGAGAGAGTAGGTCCTCTCTCAAAGGGATCCGCCAGGGGAGGGCCGTCGTGAGGAGTGAGAGCTCTGATATCCAGGTCCGGTTGGGCCAAAGGGGCGCAACTAGCAGAACCTGTTCCTCGTCCTCCCTGACCTTGCACAGTAACTGCGCGAGCAGGCTCACTGGGGTAAACGCATACTTGCACATGCCCCGAGGCCAGCTGTGGGCCAGTGCATCCGTGCCGAGAGAGCCCTCGGTCAGGGAAAAAAACAACTGGCAATGAGCGTTCTCGGGGGAAGCAAACAGATCGATCTGGGCCTCCCCGAATCGCGCCCATATCAGCTAAACAGACTCGGGGTGGAGTCTCCATTCTCCAGGGCGTAACAGCTGTCGTGAGAGCGCATCGGCTGCACGATTGAGCGTGCCTGGAACGTGAATGGCGCGCAGCAATTTCAGCCGTGGGTGACTCCAGAGGAGCAGACGGCGGGCGAGCTGAGACATGCGGCGAGAGCGCATACCCCCCATACGGTTGATATACGCCGCCGCCGCCATACTGTCCGTCCTGACCAGCACGTGTTGCCGCTCCAGCACCGGTAAAAAGCGGTGGAGAGCGAGGAACACTGCCAATAGCTCTAGGCGATTGATATGCCAATGCAACTGGGCACCCTTCCACAGGCCCGCAGCCGCATGCCCGCGACACACGGCCCCCCAACCCGTGTTGGAAGCATCTGTTGAAACAACAACATGGCTGGACGCCTGTCCTAGAGGCACACCGGCCTGTATGAACGAAGGGGTCGTTCCAAGGGCTGAGGGCGCGGTGACACAGCGCAGTAACAGAGACCCGGTGTGTGCCCGCGTGCCATGCGTGTCTTGGGACCCGATCGTGAAGCCAGTGCTGACGTGGTCTCATATGGAGCAATCCGAGCGGCGTGACGGCGGCTGCGGATGCCATATGCCCCAGGAGCCTCTGAAAGAACTTCAGTGGGACCACTAGTTTGCTGTCGAGCTCCCTCAGACAGTTCAGCAACAGGCGAGCGCGTTCCTCGGAGATGTGCGCTACCATGGTGATCGAGTCCAGCTCCATCCCGAGAAAAGAGATCCTCTGAAAGGGGGCGAGTTTGCTCTTTTCTCGGTTGACCTGAAGCCCCAGTAGGCGGAGATGCCGAAGCACCTTGTCCCTGTGCACAATCAATTGCTCCCGCGAGTGGGCTAAAATTAGCCAGTCGTCGAGATAATTGAGTATGCGGATGCCATCGAGCCGAAGGGGCGCTAAGGCACCCTCAGCGAGTTTGGTGAAGACCCGCGGAGACAGAGAGAGGCCGAAGGGGAGGACCTTGTACTGCCACGCTTGACCCTCGAACGCAAACCGCAGAAATTGGCGGTGGCGTGGAAGAATGGAGACATGGAAATATGCGTCCTTCAGGTCTATGGCTGCAAACCAATCCCGAGGACGAACGCATTGGAGAATGCGCCTCTGCGTGAGCATTATGAACGGCAGCTTGTGCACACAGCGGTTCAAAACGCGCAGATCTAGGATTGGTCGTGACCCACCGCTCTTTTTGAGTACGATGAAGTATGGGCTGTAAAACCCACTCTCCATCTCGGCTGGAGGAACCGGCTCGATTGCACCCTTCGCCAGGAGGGCAGCAATCTCCTCTCGCAAGACAGGGGCGGACAGGGGGTTGACCCTGGAGAAATACACGCCCATGAACTTGGGGGGCCGTTTCGCGAACTGAATCGCGTAACCGAGTCTGATTGTGTGTATGAGCCACCGCGAGGGGCTGGCCCGCGCTAACCAGGCAGGCAGAGCCCTCGCTAATGGAGTCATCACTATAATCGCTGACGTACCAGCGGTGGGGCAGCGCGGAGTGGGTGTGCTGATCTGGGAAGCACGAGGGTCCCGCGGAAGAGCTGGAGGAGAGTGACTCGTTCTGGCTCCGCACCCTGACTCCGGAGAGGGGGCTGGAGGGCTGAGGGAAGCGAGACCGTCCCCCCAGCGCTCGTGAGCCACTGGCGAAGCCCATAGAATCTGCGAGCCGGAAGGCAGCGCGTCCCGGACTGGCAGAATTCCTGCTGTCACATCCGGGGAAGGGGAAAAGTGCTCTTTGATTGATGTTTTGGTGGCCGTTGTAATCGAGGCCCCGCCCTCCAGTGGGGAAAGAGCAAGATTCCTCTTCTCCGGATGGCCTGTCTCAGGGACGCTTCGCGGTCCATTTGCCAGACTTAACGGCGCCCTGGGCAGGGAGGGCTGCCTGCTTTCGAGGTGTACGCCGCGCCCGCTTGGCCGGAGGCGCAGGCGGGGACGAGGCAGCACTCGTTGGCGGGCGCCCTCGGCGAGGAACAGCAGAGGTGGAAGGCTCGGCGGGCGGAGCGGGCTTACGGCCACGCCGATAGATGACATTGCCCATCGCATCCGACTGCTCTTTCACCGCCTTGAAATTCTGGGTGAATTCACCGATAAGCTTGGGTTAGACCCGCCCTCGTGCAGCTCGGCCAGCGCCTGCGCTTGGTAGCGCTGGTAGGTGGCCATCGCGTGCAAGAAGAAGCAGCCTGGCCCGCAGCCTTATAAGCTCTGGCTCCGAGGGAGGCAGACAACCTACAGGCTTTGGTAGAGGCGCCGCGCGGACAAAGATTGACCGCAGTAGCGCGCTCCACTGACGGGATCGCCTCATACCCCCTGGCAGCTCTGCCGTCAAGGGCGGTGAGGGCAGAGGGACACCAGCACGGGCATAGAAAGGTGCCCTCCAAGACTGCGTGAGCCTACTGTGCACTTCCGGGAAGAAGGGGACGAGAGGCTTTGAAGGCTTCGCCTTCTGGTCCTCTACGTAGCACCCATCTAGTCGGTCCGGCCGCGGAGCTGGGGGATAAACCAGCTCCAACCCCATGGCCGAAGCAGCCCGGGAAAGCACGGCTAACATGTCCGCTTCAGGATCCGATTTGACGGTGCTCACCTGCCCGGAGGGGGCGAGCGGGTCCGGATCTTCGTCGGACAGTGAAAGCCCACCCTCCGATGCCGCGGAGAACATCTGATCTCCGGTGTCAGCGAGTGTGAGAGCTACCATCTGGTTAGACGGATCACTCCCACTACCCGAAGCTTGGATGGAGCGCCGTGAGGAGCGAGAGGTCCGCGAGTCCGTGGGCGGCGGATTATCTCCCACTGGAACCCTCAGATCTGCCCGAGCGCCCGCTGCTTTTTTAGAACAGGAGGCAACTGGGGTGGCTCGCACTCTTACGAAAGTTAGCCGCGATCTTAGCTGTGCAACGGTCATGGCATCGCAATGACGACATGAACCGCCCGCGAGCACCGCATTAACATGCTGGACCCCCAAACATGCAATGCAGTGATCGTGTCCACCATCCGGAGCCAGGAAACCCCCGCATCCAGAAACGCACAGTCGGAGCGCCATCCTGAAAAGGACGTGCTGCACGACTGTGTTGCTCTTTTAGGAAAGTTGCAACAATACGAACCGCTCTGGAGGACCGGACCCAAAGAACCGCAGGCAAGGGAGAAACCCAGCTCGACCGTCTGCCGCCGCGAAAGCCCACTCTGGACCGGGAGACACACTCGTTCGCTCTGAAGTGCTGAACAGCAAGAGGAACCCTCATTGACTCACTTAGAAAGGATCTAAAGCGAAAAGGATGGCGTTTGCTTGCTTCAGGTGTGCTTATATGCTGGGATAATTGGCGATGCAGCACACCTGCGCAAGCTTACGCTGCCAATTCATTTTCATTCATTGGCCCGTTCAATACTCTCCAGACAAGCAGCTTCTGATTCGAATCTCCCATTCGTGGATTTCAATCAATCCACTCTATGGCACTAAAGTTCCCCAACCGAAGGGGAACCTTATATATGAGTTGTTTAGGAGTAACTGTAACTGTTTAAATGTTCTTTTTAAGTCTTTTTTTTCAAAAAGAACACATTTTTAATATGATTTAGAAAACAGTTTCACACTATTAATATTTTACAGAATTAATTATTATTAAAAAATAATAATTAAATTTTAAAAAGCTTAAAACACTTTCCTGTAAAGTATAATGTTGTGAAATCAAACTGCATCACATTTCTGCCTCCTACCACTTCATTTAGAATTCTCACAGTAAGTGTTTTTACCTGAAGAAATTTTAAGTGTTTTCAATTGACAACACAAGAGCGCACTAAACATGCAGTGCCATGAACATAAAGCCCAGCTTTCCTGTTTCACTTCCCCTTGAACAGTATCCCGCTACAAGTCAAAGCCTATTTTTTTTAGTCCAAGTTTGTCCTCATCAAACCTGAACAGCATATTTACAAAAAGAGGCACCTGTGGCCATTTTAGTACTTTCAGATATCAGGACTGACTCTGCATTGTTTGATATTATATGACTTCCCATCAGACGACAGAGCTTGTTCCTTTAGAAAAAAAAAAAGTCTTGAAAGCACATTAGAGGAGTCTGAGACCTGCGGGGAAACTCCATTTAGTTCTCTCATTTTTATGTAAGCAGACTCCAGATAAGGAGACATGTCCTTGTTTTTTTAGGATGGATAAAGAGGGGGTGGTAAACAGACTATGGCTAGTGTCCATCCCATCAGGAGCTAAAAGCTTTGTCAAATTATTTTGCTCTTTGCTTCCAACATCAAAAAGAATGTAGAATGGTAGTCGATACTTTGACCAAGTACTGTTTAGAGAGGACATTGAAGCTGTTTCTTTAAAACTTTCTTTAAAAAGACAATTATGTAGGACAGATTAAAATAAAAAAACTGTTTCTGAAACCTCCAGAAGCGTCCAATAAGAAGTCGAAAGGCAGTCAAGGAACTATACAGCGCAGTCAGGAGACGGGAATGGCTGTGGAATTGCAAAGGAATATGAGTCGACAGCCAAGCCGGGAATCCAACAACGGAAGCACAAATAGCTACAACTCAGAGGGCAGGTAAATATACTTCTCATTTGTGTGCCGTTACATAAATGTTTGCTTTTGTTTGTGTGCATTTCATTGGTCACATGCTTCTCCAAACATCTGTTAAGCATTTTTTGAAACAACACTGAAAGATTTGTTCTTGTTATCATTTCCTACCAATTGCCAGTCCTTGTGTGTCCGTGCTTGTTCCAAATCAGGGGTCAGTTAGAGCAATTTCCTGTCGCTGTGTGTTTACATTGATCCAACATACTTTTACATTTTGCATGTTTTGTTTCATTATAGAATTTCCCATCTGAAAACCAGGATTATTATTGTCTAGAAATAGCAGCCAGCTTAAGTGCTGTTCCTGTTACCATGACAACTGTCAGTCAGGCATTGCCACTATGGATAAACATGCCTCAGAAAGATTGACCAGTTTCTGACAGTGGTGGACTTAATATAAAATGTGAAAAGTCCTCCTTTCAAATATTACTTGAGTCAAAGCAGAAAGATACTTGATTTTTAATTTACTTTAGTAAATGTACTTACTGATAAATGTTTAGTTTGAATTCCTAAAACTTGTAATGCTGTATTAACCACACTGATAATTAATGATATTTCAATTAAAAGCATCTTAGATCATTACAGATAATAAAATCTGTAAATCATTCACTGGAGATTCACACTGAACAGTTTAAATCTAAGAATCATTTACTGTCCTCTGAAAAGATGGTACAATGTTGTTCCAGAGAAGGTACAAACCCTTGTGACTGGTGCAGTACGTTTCTATGGAACAGAATTGCACCTTAAGACAAAGAAACAAATTTGTGCCATTGCAATTTGTACCTTTAAGGACATGATTTGTAACATGGGAAACCAAAATGTATCTTTGGTTTTTAAAACCTGCAGAAACAATAATGTTCCTTCAATTAAGGTCTGATCCATGAATGTAGCACAACAGTGACAAGACACTTTGTACCTTAACAGTGTTAAATGTGTTCCTTCAAGAACTAATTAACGGCTTTTTTGCTTTATCCAAAATTCGTCAATTTATTTTCAGTAAATACAAAAAAATGAAATAACATTAACATAAATCAAAAGATCTATTTTTTGCTAAAGATTTCACAAAACTTTTCACAAAAATGTTACAGAAATGCATTCTCCCATGTACAATATTAAACTTTTTTTCTCCAATTTTCACACAATAGCTTTGTAAACATTTAAAAGTTCATTTAATTTACTTAATTTTAAAATAGAAATAGAATTATGCTAAAGTATTGTAACGAGATATGTACAATGATTGAATAGTTTTACAATACTAAAATGTCTGCATGAACACTTTGCAAATGCAGGACTTTTGCCAACTCACATGCAGAGTGGAAAGCAAGTGCCAAAAGATGTGGATATCAATAATAAAAATGTATTTATCAAAAAAAATGTTTACCAAATGTTTATTAAAAATGCTCTAAATCAGTGGTTCCCAACCTTTTTCTTTGGAGCCCCCCCCCATGAACATATACAAACATTGGAGCCCCCCCACCATATAAATACACACGCACGCACATACATATGTACTGTGTGTGTGTATATATATATATATATATATATATATATATATATATATATATATATATGTGTGTGTGTGTGTGTGTGTGTGTGTGTTTGTGTAATATTAATATATAGTAATATGTATAGAAAATATTAATTAATCAGTTTTAACTTGTCTTGGCCTTCAATAAAACCAAAATTTAGGTAGGCTTTGTCATACTGTCTAATCTTTTTCTTCGCCTCTGAAGAATCCCTGCATTTACATTTGTCTGCCATTTTTGTTTTGATTTTGCCTTTACGACACGTTGACAAGCAGATTGCGCGAGTGAGCAAAATTTAAATAATTATTTAAAGTTATTTATTTTAATTATTTTCACTATTATGTTGGAATTTTAAGCATGCGTTTAGATCTTTATTTATTTTTTGGTACTTAAAAATACATATATAATAGTAGGGCTGCTCGATTTTGGGAAAAATCATAATCACGATTATTTTGGTCATAATTGTAATCACGATTATTCAAAACCATTGCCAGTTAAAGTCAAAATTATTAGCGTTCCTGAGATTTTTTTTTAAATAAATATTTCCCAAATTATGTTTAACAGAGCAAGGAATTTTAACAGTATTTCCTATAATATTTTTTCTTCTATTTGTTTTATTTTAGCTAGAATAAAGAAAGGTTTAAATATTTTGAAACCAATTTAAGGTCAATATTATTAGCCCCCTTAAGCAATATATATTTTTGATTGTCTGCAGAATAAACTACCGTTATAATGACTTGCCTTATTACTCTAATTAAGCCTTTGAACTGCACTTTAATCTGAATGCTTGTATTTTGAAAAATATCTAGTAAAATATTATGTGTGCTGTCATTATAGCAAAGACAAAAAGAAATCAGTAATTAGAAATGAGATATCGAAACTATTATGTTCAGAAATAAGTTAATAAAATATTCTTTCCATGAAACAGAAATTGGACAGGAAAAGGTTTGCTAATATTCAAGAGGGCTAATAATTCTGACTTCAACTTATTTTACACCCTGCAAAGGAAAGAGAAATAAATACAATAGAATAAAAATATAAAACAAACTGTGTTTTAAGCATCTTCACTGTAAGAAAAACACTTTAGCTGCAGCAGTCCTTCAGTCAAGAGCAGCGAGGGTTTTCTCGTTGTGTTTGTTTAATAATGATAAAAACAGCCGGCAGAAGGATTATAGCGCACTGTCTCTTTAATAGTTTCTCTTTCACGTCTTTTGATCCTCAACTCGTTTGTTTATTACACAAATGAGGGTTAATGTACATAATCACTAAACACCGCGTTTTGACACCTATTTTACCATTAAAGCGCTCACGTTAAGATGACTTTAGATGTCTGCGCTCCTCTGCTCGTCTCAGTGTGTGAATGAGAGTGAATGCTGACCGGCCGCATGCTTCTGACTGCGTGATCGTGCTGCACACACACATAAGCTCTTTCGCGCTTTTAAGAGCCATTTAAGAGCGTGTACAACTGGAACGTGGCAAAATATGATGCAATAATCATTTATCTCGATTAATGCTTTTTTATAATCGTTTGAAACCGAAATCTAAATCGGATATTCGATTAATTGCAAAGCCCTTTATAATAGTGGAGCATTTTTATGCCTTTTTCTACCTTTTATCCTCTCCCGCGCCCCCCCTGTGAACTCTGGCGCCCCCCTTAGGGGGGCGCGGACCCCAGGTTGCTCTAAATGTTTGGACCCCAGGAACCACTGCTCTAAATGTTTAGTTTACAATACCTTTAGTTTTGCTGTACCAGTTGTTTTGTATTATAGAACTTAATAATTAATGTAATAATTAATAATTAACTGTTCCTTAATGAACATTGTTTGTACCAACAAGTACCTTTTTTCTGAGAGTGTGGGTATTCACTCTGAATGGATAATTAGAATTGAATTTGATTTTGAATTGAATTGGAGTTGTTGACAGATCTCAGTCCAGTTCACAAATTAATTGTTCAACTTGTGTAATTTATGAACTTATTTAACAGGTTGACTGATAAATTTGTCTTTTCTTTTTTAAACTACCTATCCTCGCCTTCTCGAATTACTGTAAACTTCATGAACAGTGTTACCAGATTAAGCAGTTTTTAGTTTTGATTGTGAAGGTAAAAAAATGCTTAGACGGGTTTACAAAATTTGCTTCACGCACCGCCTGCAGTGAATATCATAGCTGTCAGGTTCTGTGTTGTGATCATGTGCTTCTTTGTTCTATTTCCCGCCGTTTTCTGATGTTCATTAGGTTCACCTGTGTCCCTATCTTGTGTGTTATCAGTTCCATTAGTCCCTGTGTATTTACAGTATACCCTTTAGTTTGGTTTAGTCCCTTGTCCAGTATTCTACGTTATGCATTGTCTACACCCCATGTCGTTCCTACATTTCCTGTGTCCTTCAAGTGAGTGTTTGTAAATAAATCTACATGTTTGATAACTCCTGCGATCCTTTGTGAGAGAGAACTAGGCGTGACAAAAGCAGTTTATTATAACACGTTTATCTATAATTTTTTTTCCGCAATTAACAAGAACAATGAACATAGAACTGTTGCCTGATTAATAAGCAGCACCTCAATTTGTTTAAATGAATGTAAAAAACCAAATGGGACGAATTTATTTACGCCATTATCTACCTGAATCCATACTAGGAATACAAGGAGCTGCTGTGGAAGCTGGAACTCCTGCTGTTTAATCAAACAAGTCATCATTTCTTGAGTTGCCAAATAAATTATTTTTTAGACTCACCAGACAGTTTAGCACATTAGCTAATTGATATCCTTAACTAACAGACTGAAACTTACATCTAGAACACTTTATTTTAACTTCACAGGATATTTAAAGCAAATTTATAAACTATTTAAATATCATCTTTAAACAAATAAATGTACAATATATAGGCGAATAGGTAGTATAATTCACAGAACAACAAGTGCAGTGTTGTGATCCAATTAAGTTGTAATTGTACTATTATGGTTCTGTGACTGCTGGTGTTGGTTGCTGTATGGGTAAAATATGACAATTAAAGCAACTAAGCTCTAATTTCTGATTAATTAAAATTAAAAAAAATATCAGTCTATATATATATATATATATATATATTTTTTTTTTTTTTTTAAATGCGTTTAGGTGTGATTTGGAATGCTTTTGGACTGAAAAAAGTCAGCTATATCTGGCGACACTGTTCAAGAATTACCATAACCTTTTGCTTTATTCAGGAAATGCATTGGAGTAAAGTGTACAACATTTTGTTTTGATGTAGTGATATTTAAAAGTTTCTTACCATACTGAAGTAAATGCAGTAAGTTAATTTAGTCTCTGTCCACCACTAGTTTTTGGGAATAACATGTCTGCATATTCTTTGGGTACATTGATCATCAGTGTTGAGGAAAGTTACTTTTGAAAGTAATGCATTACAATACTTTATATAGTAAGTAATAGGTTTTTTACTTTTGCGTTACTTTTTATTACCTGGCTGAGGCTATAAGTTCCTTACCACAGAGCTATACATACCGTATGTACTGATTAATAAAAGTGTAAAGCAATGCTTTTGCTACTTTTGTAATTTGTGTCTTATTAAAAAGTCAAATCACTGTCCCTTCAGATAATCCTCTTTTCCTTTTCTTGTGTTCAAAATAATGAGAGTTTTCTATCACAGAATCGTAAGGCTCTGCCATCTTCCTTTCTGTCTGTTCTTGCATTCTCTCATTGCATGTGGGATTCAACGTGATTACAATCATTTTAATTCAGCAATAAACTTTTTAAAGCAAATTATCTAAGCTTAAAAGTAACTTGTATTACAATTTTTAAAAAGTCACTCAAATATTATTACTTAATTTTGAAAGTATTGTAACACTTTACACTTTACTTAGAAAAGTAATATTATTACTTAACTCGTGTTACTTGTAATGTGTTACCTCCAACACTGATGATCATTGTGGCAAAGCCAATTAAACAGTGGATTTTATATCTGTGACCCTCAGATCCCATTACATTTTAATCTGCTATAAGACAAAAAGAGCAATGATTACAGTATTTTATGTCCATTTTTTTGTGTGCTAGTCCAATCTTCCCAGCAGTTCGAGTTGAGACTCAGTTCAGTGACTTTTTGGATGGCCTGGGCCCTGCTCAATTGGTTGGTCGACAAACCCTTGCCACACCAGCTATTGGTAAGATTGTCTTACTTGTGAAACTTTTAAAGCTTTTTTAGCATTCAAGTCCATATCTCTTTTGCTGTAATCATTTACAAATTTTACTTAATCACATAATATCAGTATATGGTTGAAGACAAATTAGCTAGGAATAATTTAATTTATTTATTTTCATTTTGTATTTCCCAAATTAAAGGTCCAAAAGATTCCCAGTGATTACCTACTATATTTTTCTTCTGGAGTAATTCCTAATTATTTAAGTTTGGCAGAATTTTTTTATGTAAGATAATGGGTAACACTTTATTTTTATGAAGTCTGCTTAATATCTGTTGATATGCTCATTTGCAAGTACATACTGTATCAACTTATGCATGTAGATGCAATATAACTTAAATTCAACAAACAGACCATCAAAACAAAGTGTGACCAATGTAAACACTTACTTTTATTCTTCTATAAGCTACAAAAAAAAACAATGTTATAATTAATTTCTTAAGTTATGAGAAATTTTTTAAATTAACAAATTATTTTTTAGTTTCTACATTTTCATATTCATTCTTATTCATTTTCTTTTCATCCCTCAATGCAGAAGGAAAATCAGGGAATCACTAACAGGGGCTAGCCAGTGACATAGGTCCAGAATTGGTCCCATACATGAGCTCATTTGTGCTATTTTGACTGCTATGCCATAATGAATTGTGAAAATAACTCATCGAAAAAGGCTTCAAGACCAAGCAGAATCCTGTGTTGGCTGTCAGTACAGATTTTGAGACTCCAAATTTGGCTTTGCGTGACTTCCCATTCTGAAGTTATGCCGTGCCAAATTATGACTGAGAAAATTATGCTGGCCAGTTTGCTATTTGCCTAATAATGATAATAGGCTAAACTTTTTTTTAATTTAAAATGAACAGATTCTGATTTTTTTTCTAATAATATTTGATGTAATAAATTAGTATTTAAAAAAATAAGTATTGTATTTTTGTATATGTTATTATATTATTTCTTTATTCTGACTATGTTCCCTTATCAAAAGCTCTGAAGCACAAAATATGAATATGGCATGACCACAACTCACTCCTAAAGCAAAGGGGAGATGAGCCTCTGATTGGTTTAATGCCCAAAACATACCTGTAACTGAATGTAAACAACCCTTTTAGTCCATGTGCTGGGCACACCGACCATTTTTCCCATCCCTAAAATAGCAAAAGTGAATTCAGACACACCCTAAATGCATATTCTTGTCTATATTTTACAAAATATATCAAACTTACAAACCTAAATTACTTTGATATTCAGCACAAAATTTAAGGATAACTGGGGAAACAACAGCATGTCAGAATACTTTTTTTCAGCATGAATGATTTAAACAAATCCATTTAGCAAATTAATTTTAATTAAAATGTACAAACTATATTTGTTTATTCTGTGGTCGCCAGGTGACATTCAGATTGGCATGGTAAATAAGAAAGGCCAGCTGGAGGTGGAGGTGATAAGAGCACGAGGTCTAATCCAAAAACCAGGATCCAAATCCCTGCCCGGTGAGTCACTTCTGCTCTATTCTGAACTCACCGCTTGTGATTCAAACTTCATATGTATCATATTACTTAGTCACAACATAACTCATCAAGAAAACAGAGCTAGTCAGTTATGTTAAGTAATATCACTGTATTCATAACTGCCTAATTTGATTCACAGCTCCATACGTCAAAGTCTATCTTCTCCACAACGGGGCATATGTAGCTAAGAAGAAGACAAAAATTGCACGCAAGACACTCGACCCGCTGTACCAGCAGACGCTACAGTTTGAAGAAAGTCCACAGGGAAAAGTGTTACAAGTGAGTCATTGAGTTTATCCGCCTTTTTTTTACACTTCTAGTTTAGTTCTACAGCTGTAGAGATTCAATACGGTGTGAGAAAACGTCATTGAATCCCTCAGGAACTGTTTGAAAAAGAAAACTACGTTTAAATCCAAGGTGAGTGAAAAGTTAGTAGGCAAAATGTAGTGGCTATAGAACAAGTCATGAAAAAAACATCCTCTAAATAGACAATAGTAAATGGTAATCAGTATTATGTGCATTGGCGATAAAAGGGAGTATTACAAAAATGGACTTAATTATAAATTTTTTAATGCCTACCCACATGACAAAGTAGTAATGTATAGGTAATACCATAGTGTTTTTGAACCATACGTCGATAAAATATATTATACTGAATGTATTATTATATTAACAACTCTTTAAATAAAGGATAAAGTACACTCAGGTGTTTTTTTTATTGAAGAATAAAGCTCGACAGACATCAGCAGATGGGCCCAAAGTTTGATATGCTTTATTCTGTGTAAATTTCTCACTGGGTGTACTACAGAATATGCCACTTATTACATAAGCACTACTTACTTACCTAAACCTAAAAATTCAACCCAGGCTCATTGTGGAAACGTAGTCCTGCGGACGTTTCTGGAGACCACGGAATATGTCCCAGCGGGTACGTACGGCTGCAGTTTTTGTTTTCGCGAATCTGCGAGAGGCTGCTGTTGCGCGCTTTTTCGCACCTCAGACACCTCTCCGCGCCCGTGCTGTTCTTGCGTGAACCCACCAGAGGCCGCTGTCCAACTGACCGGATGATTGACTCCTCCTTCCCTGAACCCAACCGATTTTACCGATCGACCCGCCCGTCCGCTCGCTTTCCTAAACCCGAGCAACAGTTCACAAAAGCCGTCCAAAAAAAAAAGCCCTGATTTTTTTTTTTTATTCCACTGCGTTTTCGGATTTCGCCGCGTTCTCACCCTGTCACGAAACTCGTTCACTTCATTTTTGGGATTCTGTTTTCGTCTTACCCGATTGCTGTAACTGCTTATCCCCGGACTCGAAACCGGTCGCCGTGGTCGACCCCTCTCCGCATCTCGAGCCTGCCGACGTACCCGCTGAGCTGAGTGGACAAACTGGTTGCAGCGGGGAAGCCCTCCACAAGGAGGTAAGGCAAGCGCGAAAGGGAACAGCGTCACACCGCCCCGCAGCGTTCGCTTGAAAAAAAATAAACGCGGCCGTACGTACCTCCCGGGACATATTCCGCTGTCTCCTGAAACGTCCGCGGGACTACGTTTTCAGAATGAGCTTAGGTTGTAAAAATTAGACACAACACATTGTAATAGATTAATTATTTTTTAATTAAATGCTGACAGAAATGAAAACGTCTGAAAGGAGGATACACTAACTTACTTATTAATCAATAACAAGAAAGCACCAAGTTAAAATCAGTGATGAGACAGACAGGCATATTAACATGGATGTGAACCATACCCTCCCATTTTTCCTGAGATTCTCTCGTATTTTACAGTTTTATCCCACTATCATCCCGTAAAGGTTTTCTTCCATATTTCTCCCGAATTTTCAATCTTTCTCTGAAGGGTGGCAATAAGCATTAAAGAGCCGATCCTCCCTATACACAACCCATACCGATGAACCACCAGGGGCCACCCCTTGCTCTTAAATGTGAGTCTGTTCTGTCCTTTCGTTTTATTTAGGCACAAAAACACTTTGAAGTAAATATAAAAACAGTAGGATTCCCTTTCCTTTTTATTACAGGTGCTGTTGTCCCTCCTAAGCAATCCTCAAAACTGATATATAGAGGTGCATCAGACTGTCAGCTGACTAATTTTGATGTTAAAATATTTGTTAAGCTAATTTAAATGAAGACAATGGTCTAATTTAATTAAACTCTGGGACCCGACTCTGTGACGTCATTCTTTCGCATTCTTTAAATTTTTAATGTCCGTACTAGCCCAATACCCTCATAAGTGGTTCCGTTCTCTCATCAGTTGGAATAGAATAACTTTTGCATAGATTATGATAGAGACATTTTTATTTTTTCTATGATTACTGACATGTTCAGGAACCATCAAAATTAATTACAGCAACCAAGACCACACAGTTTTAAATTTGAGTTTACAAAAAAAAAAAAAATTGCCTCTTTGAAGGGGTTTATTATAATACAGACAACATATATAATTATTTTAATCTCTTTTAACAGTGTTTTATAGAAAATTAAAAGTGAGTTTTTTAAAACGTTTGCATTTACACCTCTGCATGTGGATTTTGGAAGCTTTTAAATCCAGACGGAAAGCCCAAAATAGCACTTCACTTTTTAGGTTTAATGAACAGTAAAACAGTATAAATTCTGTATTAGGAAATAGGAACTCATTGAAAATAAAGGAAATAAATCTCAATGCATACAGCATTCATTTAACAGATTTAGTATTAACTGTACAAATGTTGACAAAAAAGCAACAATTAACATGAACATTTATTTTGCGCTATTGTATTGATAGATCAGAAAAACCTGTATTGTAAACTGTGGTCGGAGGTGGAATTTACCTGTGATAACAGCTTATTACCCTGTGTAAGCAGGGTAGCTTTAGTCATGTTTACATCACCGACTCCTTGTGTCTCATCCACCAAAGTTATCCTTCCCTTTCTTGAGGTAAACTTCAAAAACTACCCTGCTCACGTGCATGATCAACATGGGTTGAAAAACTCGCATGTTCATTCAATTTGCTCAATGACAAAAAATAATATAGATTGCGAAACCAAACACATGAGAATTAAAGTAATGAGCCTTGTTTACAAATGTAAGGAGTAGAATTTTCTCCTATTCTATCCTATTTGTCCTATTTAATGATATTATCCCTCATAAAAGTTTGCAGTAGTTATGACAAAAAATGTTGTTTTCAAACAAAAACAAATTTGTTTATGCACAAATAATAGCCTAATGTAAAATTTAAAAGCAAAGCATCAGTAGGCCATTTGTATTGGGTACTGGGTACTGGGGTATTGGGAATGAGTCGTCTGCAAATGTCAGATTAATTTGGATGGCCTCATGCATTTGTTAGCAAGAACTTAGCACAGAAAATGCACTGTGGCTGGGTCAGGGACTCTTTGCTTCAAGAAAATGGAATAAAACCACAGTTCAGCTAACTATCTTGGTATTTCCTGCATTTCGTGTTTCCAGTATTGCGAGTTTTATAATCTGGGTCCTGTAAAGCTTCCAAAGGTTAATCAGTGAGACTCTTTTTTGTGGAGGATGAATTACAAATTTGTTCATTTTTTGGTCAGCCAAAATTTTCATCTTAATTGTTGACTGCTAAAATTTGTTTAAAATATGACGCGACCCCCACAGAGCTCGCTAAGGCCCCCTTGTGGGCCAGGACCCCCCTGTTCGGAACCGCTTGAGTAAAGTACTGATACCAGAAAAATCTACTTAAGTACAGTAACAAATTATTTGTACTACATTACTTCCCATGTCTGTACTACAGTATGGTTCAAAAACACTACAGTATTAAAGATACTAAAGATAACTTTACTAAACTGTTGTATTTTTTCATGTGAGTCATTATTTTTCACCTGCCCTGCACTGTAGATCACACTGGCGAGATCAGATATTATTATCTTTCATTATGTGACCCAAGGTGAGCATCCACTAATGAATCAATAAACAAATGTGTTGATTTTCATCCTATTAGGTAATAGTCTGGGGAGATTATGGACGCATGGACCACAAATCCTTCATGGGAGTTGCACAAATCCTACTAGAAGAGCTGGACCTCTCCAGCAATGTTATTGGCTGGTATAAACTTTTCCCGCCTTCTTCCCTAGTCGACCCGACTCTTGCCTCTCTAACTCGACGTGCTTCTCAGTCATCCCTGGACAAGGACAATTCACCGGCACCCACCGGGGTCCGATCATAGTGGACTAACAAAAATAAAGCACATTCAATACACGCCGAGAGACAACGGGACAACAATAAGAGCCAGGCAGAAAATGCGATGAAATAACACAAAGCTTTGTTCAAATCTGACAATCACTCCTGTGACTTTGTTTTTATGTCTCCTCTATGTGGGTAGCCCGTGTTCTGCCAAATTTGTTTGTCCTCGACAAAACCATTTGTTTCTCTCACTGAGATTTAGGGCTGTCTTCACTAGCACATGGGAAGCACCGCTTTTGTGGGCGACATTAGAAAGCAGGGTGGTCTTCAGTCAAGTCTTCATTAAAGAAATAATGTACGTTAGCTAGTTTTTAACAGAGCATCAGAATGTATTAACCCAAAAACAAAGGTGACCTCTGACCAAGGGATTGTGGGGTTTCAGTTGAGGCCCTGTTTAAACCCTGTTTGTACCGAACGTCAAAGGTCAGGCGCTGTAAAGATGTAGGGTGTCCCCTGGGGAGGTTGTCCGGAAGGGCAGGGCCCTTGTTGGTGCCTAAACCTGGAGGACCCAAAGCCATGGTCTGTTTAGTTTAAAACAAACAAACAAACAAACAAATAAAAAGATTATGTAGTTCCTCTGTTTTCAATGTGACTGCTAACGGAGGCCAAATTTATTTTTAATTCTGTTTATTTATTTCCTTTTTTTTTTAAATAAAATAAACTTGTCTAGCACGTTTTATTGAAAACAAAAGGTTTGTGTTGTCCAGTGTACTGTGAAAAAAAGAGGAAATGCTAAACTGGAAAATGCGTATCTGGAAAAACACATGTTTCTTTGCACATTTAGCAACTTAAACTATTACATTATCCTACAGTACGTTGCAATACATCATCTTATTCAATACGATCCATTGTTAGATGTTTACAATTATCATTAAATGCTATTAAAAAGTATATATTTAGTTAACGAAACACTATATGTAACAAGATTGTGTACTTGAACGTTTTCCAGATTTGAGTAAAGATAATCTGTTTTCATAAATCTTGAGACATAATAGAGTTTTTCAGATGCTAAACTTCACTGTCAAAAAAATCTGTTCTGTATTTAGTTGTTCAGGGCAGCACGGTGGTGCAATGGGTAGCATGATCGCCTCACAGCATGTAGGTTTAAGCCTCGGCTGGGTCAGTTGGCATTTCAGTGTGGAGTTTGTATGTTTTACCCGTGTTCGCGTGGGTTTCCTCCGGGTGCTCCAGTTTCCCCCACAAGTCCAAGCACATGTGGTATAGGTGAATTGGGTAAGCTAAATTGTCCATAATGTAGGTGTGTGAATGAGAGTGTATGGGTGTTTCCCAGTGCTGGGTTGCAGCTGAAAGGGCATCCACTGCGTAAAACATTTGCTGGATAAGTTGGCGGTTCATTCCCCTGTGGCGACCTTCGATTAATTAAGGAACTAAGCCGAAAAGAAAACAAATGAATAAATTTAGTTATTCACGTGTGTTTTTTGTTTATTCAGTGCTATGAATTACATTATGGGACCTTAAACTCAGATTTGGCGGCTTTTGATGTTGAAAACAGTCGACACTGCTTTTTAACAATGTGGCTTGACGCAATATATTTTATAAGAAATAATATCTGAAGAGTTCAGATGCAAAAACCTTTAAATGTAGGTTCAGTAATTTTACATTAATGTTGATGAATAAGGTATTTCCATTGCATTGAAAAGTGAATAAACTGAACATAAACATATGAGGTTGAGGACAAATGCTTGCTTTCAAAAGGCATTTTAGATGGCATTTAGAGGTTTTTGCATCTGAACTCTTCATACAGTTGAAATCAGAATAAATAAACCCCCTTTGATTTTTTTTTCTTTTTTTAATACTTCTTAAATGATGTTTAACAGATAAAGGAAATTTTCACAGTATGTCTGACAATATTTTTTCTTCTGGAGAAAGTCTTATTTGTTTTATTTTGGCTAGAATAAAAGCAGTTTAAATTTTTTTTAATAACCACTTTAATGTCAAAATTATTAGCCCCTTTAAGCTATATTTTTTTCGATAGTCTACAGAACAAACCATTGTTATACAATAAATTGCCTAATTACTCAATCCTACCAAATTAACTTAATTACACCTAGTTAAGCCTTCAAATGTCACTTTAAGCTGTATAGAAGTGTCCTGAAAAATATCTAGTCAAATATTATTTACTGTCATCATGGCAAAGATAAAATAAACCAGTTATTAGAAATGAGTTATTAAAACTATTATGTTTAGAAATGTGTTGAAAATATCTTCTTCGTAAACAGAAATTGAGGAAAAAATAAATGAGGGCTAATAATTCTAACTTCAACTGTATATAATTAAGTATGTAAAATAACAGATAAAGTACTGACAGTTCATTACCAGATATTTTGTTTGACAACACTAACCCAGACAATGTATCACTTTAAACTAGGCATGCATGAGGCAATAACTGTTTTCAGTTTGGCAGTTTGGAAAAGTCAGATTTTAAAACTGCCAAAATGTTCTGCTATACCGTCCCTAAGGTATATGTAAGTTTTTTTTATGTTTTGTTTTAAAGTTTTTTTAGGACAACAGTATCTCCAGCAGAAAATATATCCAAAGATCATTGTTTTTGAAACTAATGAAGACAGCAGAGCAGAAGTCAACGATTGATTTAAATTATTTAGTTTACTAATGAAAAATATTTTAAACGTTTCTCAAAATAAAATATGTTGTGTTCAAAGGGGAAAAAGTTTTCATGTTTTACCAAGACATTTAAAAAATATATATTTTAGAGCAGTAATCATAATACCGTCAAAACGTGATATTTTTATCCAAGGTTATCATACCGTTAGAATCTAATACTGACCCATGCCTACTTCAAACTATTTAAACGTTTAAATAAAAGTGACTTGTTTTGAAACTTCGAAAAGATCAAGATTGCATAATGTAATTTAAAAGCATAAATAAATGAAGAAAATTCATGAAACAAAATACAGAATACAGTAGTGTAACTTTTTGACTTCATTGATGGTGTTTTTAGTAGATGTACATTTCCTATTTTAATGTGGCTTAGAAGAAGCCACCAACTCTGCGACAAGCCCTTGCACATGAGTCTTTATTTTGAATAAAGAACGCAAGCACAAAAGCTTGATTTTAAAATACAAAAATTAATCTATATATATTTTTAAAAAATCAAGCCAACAAGCATAATTTAATTTCCACTTTGTGTACTTAACAGAAAACAAAAAAAAGAGTCATGCAAATTCCTCTTGTGTGTCTCTGTAAATGTTGAAGTGACCAATCAGATTTAGCCATCGCAAACATGACCACCGATCATCTATCAGGCCACTTTCCTCCAGTGCGACGGAGCAGCATGACTCGGATCAGTTCCCAGCTGCATGCACATTTTTTTTGTAAAACAGACTACACAGATGTTAAAAAGTAACAGAAATAGATATGTGTTAGTTCAACATACTGTAGGCCAGCTTGTATGTTGCATGTACCTGTACAGTTTGCTTGTACTTGAATATAAGAGATAAATCAAGAAAAGAAGCCATTTGCTTTCACTTTTCAGATCAGCTAAAAAAAACAAAAAGGAAATAGTCCATGTCCTCCATTCGGTGCTGAATGTTGCAACATTTTTACTTTCCATATATACATTTTCTTTTCTTTAGATTGTTATTGTTTTTTTATATCTCTTTGGGGGCAAATGTGCTGTACTGTAACACTGAACAAAAACTAACCTCCCTCCTCTTTTACAGATTTTACTGTATCATAATTTACCTCAAAACCACAGAAATTAACATATAAAATGTGTATACATCCCATAAAGTTATTCACAACAGATACTATATCATACATACATACATAACAGTATCCATGTCGAATATAATGTAGATGCAGATGAGACTTACTAGCGCATGTGTTGTAAATATGAGATAACCATGTGGTTAAGCCATATTTGCAAAGGGGCCAAGGCTTACTTTTGAGAACAACCATCCCGAAAACTAGGGACCGCTGAGCGGACACCTTTCTTATCATATGGGTCCAAATCTAGAGCTCTCACTGTCACTTTTAGAGGGCTCGATCACTCCGCTCTAAAGCTGTAGCCAGATCCTCATTTTCTCTGTGCTTTTTTTTTTTTTTTCGAGCCAAACCTCTTCACCTCTGCTATGAACACAAAATCTGAAAAAAAAGGATTGTTTTTCTTCATGAGAGACCTTTTTTTTTTTTTTTTTACTTGATCAGTATTCTCAAGTAGAGGGGAAAAACAAAGCTGACTGTTTACAACTTCTAGTATGTGTTCCACTGAGATGATGAAAAAGAAAAAGTATTCACTGCAACATTTCTGTTTGTATACAGGTGTGGCTCATACGATGTGTATGTTTTATATTTAAAAAAATGGAGAAAAAAGTTCATTTTTATTATTTCCAAATAAAAAAAAAGTGTGTGGAAGAAATTTCAACCTGGTGTTTGGTCTTTGACTTCATTTATTGGTCTGCGGTGGTAGATTTGACCAGATTTTAGAAGGATATTAACACAAAAATGAAAATCCGGTCATCATTTATTTATTCTTTCACTTGTTCCAACCCAGTTTGAGGTTGTTGTTGTTGTTGTTGTTTTTATTTCTCTTTTTTTTAGGTTTGAGGTTGTTTTTATCTTCACAAAAATATACATTTTGAAGAATGTTGTAACCACTTGTTTTTCCTATGGAAGTCTTAAATATACCTTCTTTTAAGGAAAAAAAAAAAAACATTTGAACTGGGCTGCATTTCCCAAACAACCACATGACTCATGGCTGAACTGTCATTGTATACCGTCTGCATCGTTTGGGAAAAGAACAATGTAGTGAGGAGTGTTTCTCGGTTGCAGATCCATCATTTGAACCATGTTAGTTATAACGTAAAATATAACTATAACGATATGATGCTCTAAACGGAGTGGAGTAACTACTTCTTTAGAGAAGAACCCCACAATTTCTTTGTGCTAATATATCGTTTTACATGTACACACATTTAAAAATTATCCATTATTAGTTTTAGTAAAACATGCACTCATTTTACATATTGTTTGAAATATATGTAAACGGCACATATTGAGCCTATGTTTCCTTTACGAATAATATTGAGAATATTCTATAGTCAATTCTAAAAAAATAAAATCAATTACAAAAGCTAACACATATTCTAATATCATATATAAATCATATAAATAAATAAATAAATAAATAAATAAATGATGAGACAATTTAATAAGAAATTAAATTTAATATTTATTATTTATCAAGAAATGAAAAAAAAATCCTACCTGATTAATATTAATAATATTAATGATAATGATGATGATGAAGATGATTATTATTATTATTATTATTAAGTAGGATATTGTTTATTTTTATTTTTATTTTTTTGAAAAGTCTACTTTTACAATTTTACACATGTTAACCACTGCAAAAATGTTCTAACCAACAGGCCCATGTCATATACAGTACAGATAATTAATAACCTACTATAAATGAAAAGCATTAGCGTATGCTATGTTTTTTGTTTTTTACAAGCTTTGGAGATTTAACCTAAATTCCACTTTTAAATAATAGGTCACCTATAGCTTTCGTTATGAGTCAAGGCTGTATTCAAAATGACATCAATGTTTTCAAAGCGCACTTCGCAATTGTAAACATGAAGATAAAAACTAAAACGAACTGTAA